AGCAATACCTCTGCACGCTGCAGCATAAATAATGAGGCACGAATCGAATTGAGAGGGAAATCAATGAACACCCACGAGTTCATGAGCGGCTATGCAGTTGTTGTCTATGCTCTCATTCTTGCTATTGAAGAGCACGATAAAACTACCTTCCGGCCGCAGGGACAATAATCAGTTAATGCTCCTCCGCATCCGACACTCCTCATCACTACTGGCGGTTTTTGCGCGATCGCTGAGGCTATTACTTAGCGCGCTTATGTTTACAGTTTCACCTAATCGTCGAAATTCTACCAGAGACATGACAAGTCCCTTTATACTAACCGTTGAATCCCTGAAAGAGCAGTACGGGGTTTGTACTGACCAACAGGGGTCGAGACCCACAGACTTCCACTTTTCGGACGTCGCCAAATTAACATACTTCTTTAGTTAAATGTGTAAAAGAAATGGTGTCCTGTCGGATAGATGTCCAGCAAAGGCAACCCTAGAAATTCAGTGATGACAGCTATAAGAAGTGTTTGAGGGGTTTTTACTGTCGGAAAGCGGATTTTTGAGCCTGTCATGGCTGTGAACATCATTGATCCAGGCAGCTGCCAAGTACTTTTTAATGCTAAGTCTCCAAGTCTGCGTCTACAGACGTAGACTACAGGAGTCCAGTCAGCTCTCAGAAACAGATCGACACAGAGCATAGCGAAGCCTGAGCGGCCATTTCCAGTTTATTTGCCAGCTTGAGTCAGGCACATACTGAGACAAAGGTAAGCGGCTATTTCAATTTAAAATATGTCAATGAAGTCCACTGACATACGACTAGGATTAATTATCTTCTTAAGCGGAAAATATTAATGACCAAGAGCCATGTCGATGTTGCGAACCGGGTTTTGAGCTGACTTCGTGTACAATATGACAGCGACGTTCGATTTCGGAGACAAATTAAGGTTAGAGAACAGTTATCGAGTGCCACAGAGGTTTGAAGCGTAATTCGTTCACGTAGTCCCTTCATATAAATACTTTTATTGGCAAAATGTGTCGACCCTCTCAGATCCGGACCAGCTGATTGATTGGAGAGTATTTCAGATGCTTAAGTGCACTGCAGCTGGTTTAACTACTTGTGGATTCGGATTAATTTATGGGCATTTTATGCTACCTTACCCTGCGATTCAACCTTAAGTACGACATCAGCTTTGGGAGTTTCGGTTACACCGAG